TCTCTCTCTCTGCATCATATTACAATTCGTCTTGTCTTTGCATATCTCCAATTTCTTAATAGTTCTTACATGGTTGGAGACATTGTTGAGTGAAATATGTCTGGTTTTAGGTGTGCCTCTCCATAAATTCGGGCTTAGGTTTTTTTTCTTCTTACTCAAGTTCTCTTTTGATTGTAATTTTGAAATGCATCCAGTTTTTCGTTTTTTTTTTTTTTTTTGTTGAATTCTTCTCTATCTTGACTTTGATCTTTTAGGTCATTTATTCGATTAGTTGCTTTTTGTTTTCATCATAGGTGCAAATAATCTGGTCATTTGTCCCTCTTATTGTATTTTTATATTCTTTTTTTATAAATAAAATTTTATTTTAGCAAATAAAATTTGTTGATCTGATGGGAGTTGGGGAAGAGGCGAAGAGCTGAAGAGGAGATGAGGAAGAAAGGGACAAATGGGAGAGATGAATGGGACAAAATGAAAAAAAAAAAAAAAATGAGGAAAAGGTTTTATAAAATTAAAAATGCCTTTTATTTCAAACAAACGGATTTAGACATGTGTCATACAGAGATTGATAGGCGACAGGAATTCCTGTCTCTTGTCGACAGCCAAAGTTTTTCCCCTAAAGCTCTAAAGCTGGGTCAATGGCGAAATAACATGCTGGCGTGGATAAAAAAAGTGAACACAGCCAAATAAAGTATATACTATCTGACGAACAACCTGCGGATTGCATTCACCCTATCAGTCAGGGTTATAATTGGATCGGATTTGAACCGAATCCAGTGACATCCAAATCTGATCCGTTTATTAAAAAATTCAAATCTGAATGATCGATTAATTATTTTTTATTATATATGTATATAATAAATATAAAAAGTGAAATTTATTAATATATATAATAAACTTTAATTAGATTTGAATTGTATGGGATCAAATCCTAAACAGGAGCAACGAGCAAGTTTTAACATTTGAATCCAAAAGTTCGATTGGATGTTGAATCAGATTTCGGACTTTTCAGGGTCCATTGACAGCCCCACCCAGCGATCACCTCTTGAAGTGACTGAACATTGGGATATTTTACAAGTTCAACTAAGGATTTGTTTGATTTGTGGAATGATTTGGGTGGAAAGGGAAACGATGGGATGGGATGAGAAAGTGTAAAGTTTTCATTTTCCATCATTTGGTTTATGAGAAAATTATTGAGAGAAAACATGACATATATAAGAGTTGAAAATAAAACTATTTAGTTCCAAAAATCAATTGTCCCTCTAAAAAGTTTCAAACTCTCATTGAATCCATAATTTTTCACATAACAAGGGACCATTGCTATCCATGAAATGTCATTTGTGAGAAGGCACTTTAACCCACTTTGTCTTATAGTATCATGATTCATAAATTCTTTTTCTTCCTGTAGTGATTTCAAGTGCCCATAGGCTCCAAATTGGATGATAGGGATCACGACTGGTGACATGGGCTTGTTCCAAGCGAAGGTGTTTGACAGGGAATTTGGTCGAACATATGGTGGGTGATTGCAATTTTTCAGGTTTAGAGGAGATTTAAAGCTGGGCTTCAACACTACTGGCTTGCCAAAGTTGGGATTCATTTATTGGTTTCTAGGCTTTGAACATTGTATCTGTTACAATTGAAGGGCATTAAATTCTGAAAATAGTTGATTATCAGAATGAGTTGAGTGCATTTGGAAATCATTTATGAAAATCACAATTTTAATCGAATGAACGATAGTGGTGTTTGGAAACATTTGGTGGAAATCATTGTATTAGGATAACAGTAATATCCATGTAGTAGACAGGGGTGATAACATAGAGTAAGAGATGGAGAGTTGAAGAGAAGAAAATAGCTCTGTTTTTTCAAGAAAAAATAGGTTATATCTTAATCAAAGTAAATTGGTACAAGGAAATCAAACGCTGAAGAGAGAGAAAGAGAGAGAGAGAGAAAGCATTGGCATTGGTTGTCGGAAACCATGGCAGCCAGGCCCACTGTGATTGCAGCATAGGAGGTGGAGACAACCATCTATCTGAAAATGTCACCGGAAGCTTGGACGTCGCTATTAGGCATAGGAAGTGGTGAAGACAGACAATAAACTCTTTTAACAAGCAAGTCCGATACTCTTCCCCTTTATTTTCTCACTGGGGTCACACTGTTTTTGTGCGGCCCCAAATCCCAGTTTTTGAGAAAGTGCGTCCCCCTATTTTCCTATCCCATTTTCGTGTGTCTCACAAAACAAATATGGGAAAGTGGAATATTTTAGGAATATTCCATCTTTTTCACCTCTTTCTAGCAAATCAAACAGAGCCTAAGTTAGGTCATTATGATTAGGGGTGCAAGTTGAGCGGGTTGGGTCACCTCTTTCTCAATTCAAGCCCAACCTATATGATAATTTGATGTATTCTTCAAATTATTTTCTAAAACAAAAACAATTTTCATTCTTTCAACATCTGAAAAAAATGGCAAAAAAAAACACAAGAAAATAAAATATACATAACCAAAAACATGTTTGTATATTTTTGTTTCGATAAACAATATATTTTCAAATCAACGCCCCTTAGTCTTTTTGTCAAAAGCTCAAGTTTCTCATCTTGTCATACATTTGTGTAGCGAAAAGGTCAAGCATGTATAGGGGTGGACTCGAGCAGAGCCAAGCCAAATACTATCAGGCTTGAGCTCGGCTCGAGACTGTTCTACAAGGCTCGAGCTCGGCTCGAGTCAAACAATCATAAGCTCGAGATCAACTCGATTCAAGATTGATTTTGAGAAAAAATATTTTATAAAAATAAAAAATTATATATACAAATACTTTTTATTTGATATTTAAAAAATAAAGAATTATAATATTTTTATTATATATTATTTTCTATAATTTTATTATATATATATGAGCTGACTCGCAAGCCTCACGAGTCAATCTCTAATAGGCTCGAACTCGGTTCATTCAATAATCGAGCCAATGAATTGAGTTCGAGCTTGGTTAAAACTGAGCCAAACAAGCTTGGCTCGTTGTCACCCCTAAGTATGTAGCATTGTAGTGTGATTTGAGCCTGAGCTAAGACCTAGGACTTTTATCACCTAGCAAGGCCACTTTCTTGTATGCCCAAACTCGAACCCGGTGCCAACTAAGGGGTGGCGCCCTATGTTAGCCGGTTCATTTCAACAAAGATGGAGATTCGAATAATGCTACCACCAACTCTTTAAGGAGGGAGGTATAAATGTGGTGTTGTGTTGTTCAAATGACCCCTATGGGAATTTGGGGATTCGGGCATATCATCAAATACCAAAAAAAAACGAATTCAAACCTGATAATGAGCTAATTTCATTAGCTCAGTTTGGAAGGAGTATAAATACAAACATATATAGTCAAAACCTTTATCTTGTATTATTTTGTGTGCATTTGCTTGTACATATTTGCATTTATATTCTTACCAAACTAAGCCATCGCTGATGGCTAGAATTGGACTTGTGAATGGTGATGTTTTGTGATGAGGTGTAATTTGGTCCAATCAATCATGTTGTGACATGTAGCCTTCGGGTGACATCTCGGCGTTAAATAAGCAAACTAGATCGGTAAGCCAACTTGGAGCACCTCGTCCAAGCCGACCTCCACCTCAGCAAGGCCAAACTGGTTGACCTCGTAAGATTACGATGACTTGTCCTGGGAACCAGCCGAGCTATAGGAGTTCATGGCGACCTACGAGGAAAAGCCCGCTAACCCAACGATACTTTACCAAGCCAAGATCCCTGGAGCGCAAATACCTCAATCGTTAGACTGGCCTACCGCATCGCACACCACAGAGTTATTCTGGTAGATCGTAACCTCCGCACGAATCTCACAACCATACATTAATGCGGCCAAACGAAGCGGAAACGGTTCCACGAGAAACTCGGGCCTGTTACAAGAGGGCTCTAACCACTGATGCCTATAAAAGGCACTCACTTCTACCTAAAAAGGTACACACAATTATACACTCTCTAGCTCTCTCAAACTCTCAAAAGATTTCACAAAACCTCTTTGACTTAAGTATCGGAGTGCCCTCCCCGGGTAAAGACACCCGGGCACTCTAATTTTCTTCTTTTTAACAGTACATATCAACTCGGCCTATCACAACTCAGCCATGACCAAGAAATATCTAAATCAAATTTCGAGTCATCAGACATGAGGGAACTTTTAGATTGCGTGACATCACTTTGTAAAGACCCAATTGAGAGAGATCCACATCAACTTGTTTGAGTGACTATATAAGTAATGTAATGACATGGACCCTTTAATCTTGTTCGGTTTTTAGGGTTATATAAACGGATTGGATCAAATGGGGTATTAGGAAGATCCAAATTTTATTTGTTTATATTTTCAAATATTATGGTCAGATTTATATTGGATTCAAATCCAATTCGAATTGCGCCACTTCATGATATGATCAGTTCATGTGCACCCTATTCTACTATGGGATTGGGGTCTCCACAGAGCGTGCCCTACATGCACATCCCATGTGTATTTGAAACATCTCTCATAGTTGTCATGGGAGATGTTCCAAATAAATGGGGAATGTGCTTGTGAGGCACACCGGCGAGTCCATCGGAATATATATATATAAGTTTTGTAAAACTTAAATTAATAATTTTGGATAAAAATAAACATTTTTATATAATAAAAATACAACATTAAAATAATCAAATATAATTTTAAGTTTATATAAGTATTTATATTATATAAAGAGATACTTGCCTTGATTCCTATGCATATATTTTATTAGCATCGTATTTTATAAGAATTTTCGTATTTACTCTTTTGTCATTACTTCCACACCTTCTTGTATAATCAAATGGAATTGGATTTATATCGAATCGGATGGACGGGTACTCTTTGAAATCATTCCCGGTTTCTCATTGTTTTCTTTTTGAGTTTTACCCGATTAATGAAGTGGGCGAGGTTTTCGATCCACCCGAAGCTTTGCAACCCGATCATGAATTCATGATACGACTATACGAGTCACGACAGGATGGGCTTCATCAGTTGATTCAGTGACAGTGAGGAACAAAAGGGAACACACGAATCTTATCTGTATGTGGTGTGACGGATTGGGAGGAAGGAGCCTCCCGATTTAAGACTAGCAGTCTCGCGCGCAGGTTGCAATACTCCCCTCAAGTCCGGTTCCAAAATTCTCATGTGGGCGTTTCAATCTCCCCGAACATTCCAACTCCCTCTCCTGCCAAAACAGTCATTCCAAACTCCTCTCTCTTCAAAGCACTCCTCTGTTTCTTTACAGAGTTCTAACATTAACCAGATAGTTCAATCATTATGCAGACAAGGCAACCTCAAGCAAGCTCTTCAAATACTTCCCAATGAACCCAACCCCACCCAACACACGTACGAGCTTTTAATCCTCTCTTGCTCGCGTCGTAAGTCTCTCTCGGATGCCATTACGGTACACCGTCAAATTGTCGACGATGGGTTTGATCAAGACCCTTTCCTCGCTACCAAACTCATTAATATGTACTCGGACCTGGACTCCATCGAGAATGCCCGATATGTGTTCGATAAAACCCATAACAAAACGATATTTGTGTGGAACGCAATTATTAGGGCGCTTGCATTAGCGGGTCAGGGAGATGAGGCTCTCTCTCTCTACTATTGGATGAACCAAATTGGCGTTCCTTCGGATCGGTTCACTTACCCTTACGTACTAAAGGCTTGTGTCACTTCGTCGCTCCCTGTTTCTCTTCTCCGGAGGGTCCAAGAAATTCATGCCCACATTGTACGACATGGGCTTGAATCTCACGTTCATGTTGCGACTACGTTGGTAGATGCTTATGCGAAATTTGGGTGTGTGTCTTATGCGTGTCGTGTGTTTGATGAAATGCCAGAGAGAAATGTAGTTTCTTGGAGTGCCATGATTGCATGCTATGCAAAGAATGGGAGATCTTTTGAGGCGTTGGACCTATTTCATGAAATGATGACCAGAACCCATGATGCAATTCCCAATTCAGTGACAATGGTTAGTGTGCTTCAAGCTTGTGCATCTATTGCTTCTTTGGGACAAGGGAAGTTGATGCACGGATATGTCCTAAGAAGAGGTCTTGATTCTATCCTGACAGTTATCAATGCGTTGGTGTCAATGTATGCGAAATGCGGTAGTCTAAAGATTGGCCGTCACATCTTTGATAGGATGGGAAAGAGGGATGTTGTATCTTGGAATTCTATGATCTCAGGATATGGGATTCATGGGTATGGTGAGGAAGCAATTCAGGTTTTCAACCAGATGATCACTACTGGGATCTCACCAAATTCCATTACATTTGTCAGTGTGTTGGGAGCTTGCAGTCATGTTGGGCTTGTCAATGAGGGGAAGAGATTGTTCCAGTCTATGATTCAAGAATATAGAATTTTTCCTAGTGCAGAGCATTATGCTTGCATGGTGGATATTCTAGGCCGTGCTGGTCACTTGGACGAAGCTGCCAAAGTGGTAGAAGATATGCGGATTGAACCGGGTCCCACAGTGTGGGGTTCTCTCCTTGGTGCATGTAGGATTCACTGCAATGTTGAACTTGCAGAGAGAGCATGTCTTCGGCTCTTTGAGCTTGAGCCCAAGAATGCAGGGAACTATGTACTTTTGGCAGATATCTATGCAGAAGCTAAGATGTGGGAGGAGATGAATAAAGTGAAGAAGCTTTTAGAAGCCAAGGGGCTGCAAAAAGTTCCAGGTTGCAGTTGGATCGAAATTAAGAAGAAAATCTATGCATTCATGTCTGTTGATGAGTTGAACCCGCAAATTGAACAGCTGCATGCTTTGCTGGTCCAATTATCAGCAGAGATGAAGGATAGGGGTTATATTCCAGACACCAAGGTTGTCCTCTATGAGCTTGATCAAACAGAGAAAGAGCAAATCATATTGGGCCATAGTGAGAAATTGGCAGTTGCCTTTGGGCTTATCAATAGCAACTATGGTGAAACCATCCGGATAACCAAGAACCTGAGGTTGTGTGAAGATTGTCATTCTGTGACAAAGTTCATTTCCAAGTTTGCAAATAGAGAAATTCTTGTTAGGGATGTTAACCGCTTCCACCATTTCAAAGATGGGGTTTGTTCATGTGGGGATTACTGGTAAACTCACATAAGGTTTAGTCCTATATGGTTTGAGCCTAAATTGGGGAAAAGATGCGTTTAAGGCCTTATTTGTCAGTGCCACTACTACTAAAGAATAGATAAATATGCATGATTCTCATAAAGTACTTGGAAGGCTTTGATGGACCCATCTTGGGAGGATAGGCATATTTTGAAGGAAGAAAAGAGGATATTCATGGTACAAACATTTCATAAGTTCATTAGTGGGGAAACTGCACCCTTGAAGGAGGGAAAGATTTGGGGATCCCATATCTCCTTACAATGGAAATTCGCATGTGGTAGGTTACTCTTGGGAATATTTTCATGGTAGATAAGGTAAAAATGTGTAATATCAGATTGGTAGTTCAATGTGCTCTATTCAGGTCAAGGGGAGAAGATTGCATGCATGTGTTTGTTGAATCTTGCGGTTCTTTTTCTTCATCTTCAAGGTTTATTAGTAGTTCTCTCATCACCTCTTCAGATAATTTACCATTAGCCAGGATAAAATTAAAGGAGAAAGGATTAATTCCATGGAAGATTACCCCTTTGTTGTTGCCTGGGGTTTATAGAAGAAGAAAAAAAAAAACTGGAGGATCTTTCAGGATAGGTCAAGACCCATTAACAGAAAGTGAAGAGACAGAGATATTACTGCTTTCGTTTTCTTTTTGTTTTTTAGTGGAATGGTCAACATGGTAATTTTGTATCAAATGTGTATATCCTTCTTTCTTGGATCCATGACTTCAATGGTGGATCTGTATGCAAATTCTCTGTAATGCTTTAACTTTTTATGTACTTAATATAATTTCTTAATACCTAGGAAGAAAAGTGGTTGGTCATGATTTTGCAGTTTAAGAACACTTCTGCCTTAAAATTTCTTGTTGGAACTGGGAATGTAACTATACAGGCTATGCTTTGCCAATAAGCAATTGGCAAAGGTAGCCATTCTTCTACAGGAATGGGAGGGAGCACCATTACTACAACAAGTATTGCCAATTATGTTACAGTCCAAAAATAGAGAAGCATGTCTGTCATTCTTTTGCAGTTGATCCCTTCAAGAATGGTGGTGCAATTTAATTTTGACTTGTAATGCCCTCATCTTTCTGGTCTGTTCTCATTGACATGGCAAATTTTGTCTATATCAATCTAGGGGCCTTGTTGACATGCTTTCTTGTATATGAGTATGACTACATGGTTTATAGCACTACAGCTTGGATTGTTGGGTCTTCCTTCATTGCTTGTCAGCAAGTTGACTGTGGTTGCCTGTAGAGGAACAAAAATCCTAGTTATAAAATTGTAGGTCCGCGGTAGGTTGGATGACTTTGTTTAGCAGATTGCTATGAAGTTTCACATGGTAAGGAAACGACTCGGTGCTTATATACATAGCATCCGATGCTGTATTTGCTTGCTGGAGAAAATAATAAACAGAATCTGCAAATATCATCATTTTATCCCGAAGTTCAAAATATCGATACATCCGGATACGTTTGAACCTAGCACTTCATTTTATTAGCTGGTGATCCCAGCTAATAAATTAGGGACCTAGGTTGCTGGGCAATATTCAAGAGGTGCCTCATTTCATGGTAATATAATGGGCCTAACCATCCAAGTCCCCATCTAGTTTAGGAATGGCCAAGGTTTTTAAAATCGACTCGGACAATGAAATGGTCAGGCCAAGATTTTTAAAATCGATTCGGACAATGAAATGGTCAGGGGTCCAGTTAATGGGTAGAACGGTCCGATCGTTTGAATTGAATGGACGGCCTGTTTTGATAAAAAAACAAAAAAATAAAATCAGTCAAACCATTAAATGGTTCAAACAGTTCGACCACCCGGGTCAGTGGTTTGCTGACCAAATTAATGGTTTTGGGGGAAATTAATAGTTCTAGGGTAAGATGGAACCGGTCACTTGACCGGTTCCCGGTTTTTTTAGTCTGATGGTCCTATTTTGAAAACCATGGGAATGGCAATGGGGCGGGTTCGGGGTGGGGATCATATTCCCCATCTCCAACCCCAATTCTGAAATTAGCCCCAATCCTCATTGGGAATAAAATTTGTCCTCCATCCCCGATCCCTAATGGAGATGGGTTCTCCACAATGACCCGAATCTCCAAAATTGTTTTAGATAACAGTATTTTTTTTAAAATACATTTACTTAAAATAAATAAAAATTTTAAATTATAAATTTGTTTTAATATATAATATAAATAATATATAATCAAGGTTGGGGCGGGGTGGGAACCTCAATCCTCATCTCCGACCCCGACCCCGACCCTGATTGGGGATTCCTATTAATCCCCATCTCCGTCCCACCAAAACAATCCCCATCCCCAACCCGATGGGGTCGGGGAAGTCGGCTCCCCGTCAGGGATGGGGAAAATTACCATCCCTAATCTAGTTTTCTACTCCTAGTAAGGGAGATGACTGCAGGTCCGGAGATAACCCAGATAGTCCAATTAATAATGCATCCAGATTCTAGGGGTGCTCACGGTCCTATGGGCTTTTTTTGGAATCAAACTGGTACTACTGTTTTTTGGAAAACTGGTAACCGAAACCAAATCGAAGCCAATTAGTTAACCAATTGACTGGTTCAGTTCATCAATTTTTTGATTTTTTTTTTTATTTTTACAATACATATTATAAAAATATATAATAAAAAATTATAAATATATATAAAATATATAATATATAAAAATATATGTATATCGGTCGGTTTGATTAACCGTCCATTTTCTATATTAGTTAACCGATACCTTCAATTTTTTAAAAATACAGAACCAAAACCGAAACCGATTTTTCGATAGATTCGGTTTTTTGGTGTTTTTTTCTCACCCCTGCCTGATTCTTGATCCACCCAAAGTCCCAAAGCATGGCCAGCCTGAGTATGACAGGTGTAAATTTGTGTTTTTATTTTAATTTATAGTAAACAGACATCTGTAAATTTGTCAAAGCGAATATTACTTTGCTTTTGTCTTCCGCCTGGGAATTTGGTTAACTTTATTCTATTAGGTGTGAGGTGTGGCGAGGAAGAGATTCCAGACAGAACTCTATTATGACTTTATATTATTGTGACAGGGTTGAGAAGGGGAATGGCGTCAGCACTATGTTGTAGAACCTCTTCGCCGATCTTCTCTCGCTCTCCTTCTTCTCTGCTCCGTCGCCGTCTACCACTGGTCGGAGCCTTTTGCGTGCTCAGTTTGGGTATAACCAATCTCAGCCCAGCACTTTCATCCTCTTTCAAGACGGGGTGCGCACAGTCTCTCCCTTTCGTCTCTTTCATACGGTATTCTCTTCCATTCTTTCATTCTATCATTCCCCCTCTGCTTTCTAGGGTTTCTCACATTCTGTTAGGTTTTAATTTTTCTTCTTCTGCTTATCCTTACCCCTTTTACTCCCTTCTTTTTTGGTGAATTTATGACATATTTCTTTTAATTCATGGGTATTTTCAGCTAAAATACTGAAAAACTTCGTTTTTGTGTAAGAAGCTTTGGAACCGAAGTCGATTGATTTCATCAGTTAAAGAAAAATCAATCAATTTCTTTTTATTTATATTTTCCCGAAATGAGATGATTTTTTATGGTTGGCCTTGTTACCTATGCTAGTAGTTTAATCAAGATGTATCTACAAATCCAAGCTCTACATCACCCCTCTACCTATTTAATATTTTTATGAAATGTCTTTTGGCGATATGAAATATAAACTAGATTTGAATCATGGTTCTGTGTAAGTTGGTGGATGTGAATACGAATTGACGTCTCCATTCTTCTTTTGTTTGCAAAATAGGTGTGCCTTGAAAAACAATTTTAAATGGATTTCTATTCTCAGTGCTTCTCATTCTATTCTGCATTTTAATTGTTCAGGTCACGCTTTGCTAACCAAGCATCTGCCAAAGACGTTCCTAATACCGGAATGGAAAGCGTCACCAGAGTTGTTCCAAGTATTGTTGTTTATGTTACCGTCCCGAATAGAGAAGCAGGTCTGTCATTCTTGCTAGGTTTATCCCTTCTGTTTAGGTAGTTTAATTCTGTTGTCAACGCCATGGCAAAATTTGTTGGAATCGACATTTCATAATTAGTCTAGCGACCTTAATAACTTTCTTGCTACCTTACTACAAAGATCATGGTTTCTCTCTCCAGCTTGAATTGTTTGTTGGTTCCTCAACCTTCCATGCATATGTGAGCAAATATCTGATGTCATCAATTTAGGTCCTTTGTATTGCATGATGCTATGAGGTAAAGAACAGTTAAGTGTGTACTTTTGCATGGCGTTTACATGCTTGTTGATTATTTTGCTGCAAAGTAATCTAAATCCAAATCTGGTATTTTAGTTTTCACATTTTCTCTTTTACATAGGACATCCTAAAATAGCAATTTTGTGTCAGGAAATGATAGTTTGGTGTATTTGCTAGTCACCATTCAAGAAAGGAGTCAATTGTGATATATAAATGGTAAATAGGCTATGCCATTTCATCTTTTCTCATCCTTCCTGTTCTTTCTTTTACCCTTTATGGTTCATACAAGCAAAAGATTCTTTCTCATCAGCGTAGCTGCGTGAGAGGTATGTTTTGATCGGACAGCGGATGTCTGTCCATGTTAAGCATGTCTTTACTCTTTACTGGTTTCCCCTTTATCTGCTTCTAATAACTGCCCAGTTTTCTTTCAACATAAAATCAATAAAGTGCTCAATAATGACATTCTTGGTGAGGAAAGAAAAAGAAATCTAAACAATACAATATTTGATACAGGGAAGAAGCTGGCAGAGAGCATAGTCAAAGAAAAACTTGCAGCATGTGTCAACATAGTACCAGGCATGTCATTCAACTTATACTTGATGTCGTTAAGACGCCTTTCTCTTTGCTTCTTGTTTATAAAGTAACTGTTTGAGTATCAGTTATAATTGCCTTTGAATTATGTGTTGCTTGTATTTATTAAAATATAAAATATCATTCATTTTTTTTTTCTGAGGGCCTTTTCTTGAACTGCCAATTTTTACGCTAATTCATGGCATTGCAGACACTCTGAGTAAATATTTTATCAGTTAATTTCAAATACCCCTTGAATCTAAATATTTTTGCAAAAGGTGTTTGCATTAAAAAAAATAAGGGGAAAAAGAAAACTTAAAGGACCACTTGAGTAACAAGTCATAATGCGAAGAATTTGTCAATTTGTTATTCAAGACTGATTTATAAAGTCAAAGAATATTATTTTAAGGGTATGAGAAAGAATTATTTACCACTACACAATTTCAACGAGTTTATGCTAAGATTTCTGGAAGGAAGAGGGCTTTCTGATATGGACACTTAAAAATATTTACCATACCCATGTCAGACACCTATATGACACTTGGGAAAACAGGCAATGTAGCATATGACCTATCAGTGTTGACCTTCAAAACCATTAAAAGGCTTGTAGAGCTTCATTTATACGGATACAGGGAGAGATTGGTCACATAAGGTGGATCTCAATTGCATACTTGCATATTAGCAGAGATTCCTTAGGGTGATCTTCACAAAACTGGTTGTTGATGATTGCGGAAGGTGTCATGGCCTTTTCTGCACAAGGATCCTGAAGTTGAGGATGATTGCGGTCATGCCCATAAGCTTGATCAAGGAAACCACATTGGAGCAAGATCCACAATGTACTTTACAACAAAGTTGCACAAGGAAAAGGAACGATTTAAATAATTGGCAAGACAATGATATGAATAGGACTAAATTGCTCAAAAATAGGAAGGTCGTAGGGGAGAGGGTTTCCATGATAGGTTGGTTTTTATTGTCAATTCAAATTTTAACCAGTGAATGGAAAAGGATTGTGTGTGTGTGNGTATTGCAGCAAATGAATGAGGAGAGGGATTTCACAGAAATTCCAATGTGATGGGGCAAGGTGGAAGTCTAGTGCTGGTGTTCAGAACTTGCTAAGAGTTGGTCTTGGTACTTGAGATGACATAGGAGGTTCCAGATGCCAACTGGAAGGGCTGGAAGAAGGTTTATGATAAAGATCAAGGGAAACTTACCATCTAAAAAAGAAGGGGTGATCAAGATACTTTCAGAAGGGTTAACAGAGCTGCAATTTTTCTAAAGGGAGATGAAATATAAAGTGGAAGCTGAAGTGTGGTGAAATGAAAAAAATAAAAAAAAAAAATCTAAAGGGAGGTGAAAAATAGAGTGGAAGTTGAAGGATTAGTGGAGAAGATATAGGAGTCATAGCAAGTTCAATAATTGTTTACGGCGAAAACTAGGTCACAGGTTTCAGAATCCAGGAGTTTGTCTACAATAAATAGAAGACAATGGTCAGAAAGTTGGAAAGTTGGTACTGTTGCGTAAGCTAGTTAAGCAACAAATTGCAGTCTATTACAAGTGTTGCCTCTTACTATGTTGAAATTTTTGCAGGACAAAGAGGTAGTAGTGGGACCAAAACAAGATTTCAATTAATTATAGAAGGAACATGGAGGTTTAGAGGAGTAGAAGGGTCTGTTGCAGGCTGTGTATGACCATGAAATAACCTCAAAAGCCGTGAATCATGCTCTGAGGTGGGGGTGGGGGAAATAAGGAGGCTGGGAGTGTTTGCAAATTCACAATGACCTACAGAGGTGAAAGACATAAAAGACCATTGATTGATCAGGATTCAGAAGCAAGTAGGGAATTGCCCAGAATCTTCAGCAATTCTGAGCAAAGTTCGTATTTTGTTAAGACTTTAGAAGAGTGGAAGAACAAGATAGATAGCATCTTCCAACAACTCTGAGGAAAGGAAAAAGGTGAATGAAGTGGTAGAGTAGAAGTGGAGACATTTAGAACAAGTAGTGTTGAATCTTGTGTAGGTGAGTGAACAATTAGGGCTTATTTTTATTGGATGTAAGGACCATTGTTGGAGTTTTTTTATTTGGTTAGAAGGATACAGGGTGAGGGATTGCCCTTTACCTAAGACAGACACAAGGAAATCAAGGTTCTAATCATGGGAGATCCAGACATTATTGCCTTTGGGGATAAGGAGGGGCCTTTTTGATAAAGGGTGTTAGGCACACTAGAGGAAGGAGAGGTGAAGAAAGGAAAAGTGTTTTTTTTTTTTTTCATTTCATTTTCTTGTTTCTTTTTTTTCGGGGGCTCATTCCTCTGATACATCAAGCATCAAGAAATTTTATTGCGTTTTCTGAATCAGGTCCTGAGTAGTTTGTTCCTGAAGTGAGAAGATACATGTATCCCATATGTCAAGAGTGTATGAGGTGGCCTTATACACAATTCAAAGATTGTGAAATTTCTCAGAGATTTAGCTTCTGATTGCTTACAGCAATTAGTTTATCCAATCACTTGGGCTGCATGACTTCTAGTGGCTACTAGCTACTTTCTGGAATAGTAACAATCATATAAACTTTCCATAAATACCCGGGTGATGCCTGACATCCAGTAGAGCTTATACTAGTTTGAAGATTCTTGATGTCAGTTATCTTATACTCCTTTTGTGTGCATCGGTTGGACCGCATCCATGTTCTATTAGAGATGGTTAAACCATTTAGAGACCATCCTGTACAGTGACCTTTTCAAAGCTACACACAGAGGCCATTTGAATGAATTATAATTTCTGCTAATAAATTTGAGCATTGCTGCATCTAAACTAAATGGGCCTGCAGTTCATTCTTTGTGATGGAAACAGCTGTAATAATAACCTGGCGAATATGATACATTTTTTGATCCGCCAAAAAAAGATGGTTTGTTTTCGCTCACTGCATTTTGTTCTTACACTGTCAATTCCTATACAATTGGGTGAGAGTGGTAATTGAAAGCATTTAATTTCAAACTTTCATTGTCATTATGTCATTCCAATTATTGGTTTCCTTTGATTTTCTTGGTCTTTTTCTATGCTGTTCACTTTCTCCTTTTGGATTATGATGGTGCAAATCAGCAACTGATATTCTTATTTAATTGATAAAAAACTGATATTCTTAATTTTAATTTTGCCAATGCAGGAATTGAGTCAATCTATGAGTGGCAGGGTCAGGTAAAAGATTACATTTTTATGGGTTAAAAAAGTAATAATAAAGTATTAAACCAATATATACTATACATAATTTAATTCTAAATATTCTTAGCAATTAGCCCTAGGCAAGGTAAAAGATTACATTTTTTCCTAAGTTCATATTCTGTTTCTTTTGGTTCCAGATCCATAAGGATAATGAAGAATTACTTATAATTAAGACCAGGGAATCCCTTTTGGAAGCTCTAACAGAGCATGTCAAAGCTAATCATGAATATGAGTAAGATTCTCTCTCTCTCTCTATCTATCTCTCTCTCTCTATCTATCTCTCTCTCTCTTATATATATACTCTTACTCTTTCTGTTGTATCCTGGGACTACACAGTACCAATTGTGGGCCCTACACCAATCTTGAGGAGCAATGTTTTGTATTTTAGCAATTTCCTACAATTTAAACCATCCAAAATATGCCTTAGGATTTATGCTCCAGTAACAGTCCTAAATCACCAGCCAAAGATATTTGGTCCCAAGCTTAGCATTTCCCTCAAGTAAATCTCTGCTGAGTGAAAGATTTGGTTTTTTATACCTTTTTTTTTTCACCTTGAAATATCCCAGGTGATTTATTGGTTTGATATTTTGATTCTCTTGGGTTTGAGCCATAGATTTTATGCGCTTATACTCAATTGCATGTAATTGAGTTTTGTTATGAGATTGGTGAGATCTTCTCTTGGCTGCTTGGGCTGCAAAGGTTGTATGCTTATTTTTCTTTTATGAGAAAATACTCAATTGCATTTAGTCTACTTTAATGGCTGATGGTGAAATAGTATTTCTGAGTTGTGATATGAAGCCTTTAGAAAATTAAATGTCTCACCCTTCGCCTTCTTTGTGGTTCCTCAGGGTTCCTGAAGTCATTGCCCTGCCCATTAAAGGTGGCAGCCTCCAGTACCTGGAGTGGCTAAAGAACAATACAAGGAACTGATATCCTTATGCCTGGTGAGAGTGCTATTAAAAGTGGTCGTTTTGAGTGGACAAGGATTTCAATAGGTATTTCATTTTTTCCCCCTACTAAACGGTGAATATCAGCTGTATATTCAGGCTGCTGAGGCCTTTAGTTGTGGATCATAATGGAACGTTTAGTTCTTGCCTCTCTCTCTCTCTCTCTCTCTCTCTCTCTCTCTCACACACACACACAGCAGAGGATATGGACATTGCTTTCTTTAAGTAACCGTAAGTAGTATCAAAAACAAAACAGATCAGGGATTCAGGGCTACAGGTGCATTTTTAAAAGTGGTGATTGTGACTGACCTCTAAAGCTGGAACTTTGGGCTGTGGAAGGATTTCCTTGTCAATAGTTAACTGAACACTGTAAGATGTGCACGTACACGGGATGCAGGGCAAAGGTGACGAGAACATTTTCATTGAAAGCTCCCATCAAATGTATTTGCCCTCCCCATCTAGTCACTAGGGGCTAGGGCTGCAAACGGATTGGATCAAATCAGATATAGGCATATCCGAATTTGATTGGTTTATATTCAAATTCAAATTGAATCATATCTATCGGATATGTAGTGAATTCCATTCGAATTCGGATTATAATCAGATATTAAATGGTATAAATAAATTAGACTAAAAATAATCAAAATATTATTTATTATTAATAAGATGAGCTAAAATGACTTTAATATTATATTTTATGAATAAAATGAATTGAAAATTACTTGTATAAAACTTGAACCTATGACAATTTAGTGAAAATACAATATTGAGACCAATTTCAATGATAGATATAATATAATTTTAAGTATATATGAATGTGTATTTAAATCAAATTGAATTGGATTATATTGGATTGGATAGGGGTAAATTCATATTATTAAATTTAGGACACCCTTGATAATAAGATCGAATTCAAATTTGGATAATCATACCATTAGCAGCCCTATTGGCCACATGGGCCATATCCAAAGGAATCCTCATGGATGCTGCGTGAGAATTCCTTTTGTTCTTGCATGCGCAGAATAGATCAAAGCGAAATACCAGATCACAGTTTAAAGCATGGTTTTTAAAAACGAACTGGTGACTGAACCAGTCAGGGGTCCAGCTATCGGTTTGAATGGTCCGACCATTCGACCCGAATGGCTGGTCCATTTTGACAAAAAAATAAAAAATTTAAAAATTAAAAAAATTGAAAAAATGGTTAAAACTGTTCGAAAGGTTTGAACGGTTAACCAGCCGGTTTATCGGTTTGTTGACCAAAATTAACGGTTTTAAGAAAAAAAACAGTTTTGGGGGAAAACGGAACCGGTCAGATGACTGGTTCTTGGTTTTTCCGGTCCAACTGTCCCGTCCCGTCCGGTTTTGAAGACCATGGTTTAAAGTATATGTATTGATTCTTAGGCCGGGTGAATGATACAGTGGTACGCATCAATGCATGTACTGTACAAATTCGACATGGGTAATAGAATATGGGCTAATATGTATTGGTTTCTTAGCCTAGCTGGGCGGAATGATATGTGTGGAATACAATATCTTGAAGGAATTCCACGTCTTGGTTCCATAGGGGCTACACAACTGGGAGGGTAGCCAATCCCCAAACCCTTTAACCCCAAGTCCCCAACCTTTGTGCAGGCGGGATTCAATCAAACTCTCAACTACAACCAGACAGAGGCTTTACCAATTAGTCAGTTGGCACCTTGTGTGTCATGAGCCTCAAATGGATACCTTTGTGCAGACGGGAATCAATCCAAGTCTCAACTACAACCAGCCAGAGGCTTTACCAATTAGTCAGTTGGCACCTTGTGTGTCAGAGTCTCAAATGGATACACAACACTTCTGTCAAATTGTACAAAATTGATATGGGTGAATGCTGGTGTGTTCATTTGTAATTGGTTAAATATCCCATTACACTGGCAAGCAGCAGATCCCAAGTGAAGAATCTGTGGGGACCTTCAAAGAGAGAAATATCTTTTAGTTTCTTTTTTTTGGTAGACAAATGGGCAAGATAGCTTCACCAAACACATGACCCACCTAACCCTAGTGAAGTGAAACCCAGATTTCCTATTCACTTTCTCTACCCGCACCCTAACCACAGTACACTGCAGCTGCACATCTCACAATACAAGATGCAATGTGTGGCTGCAATTCACGGTGGGTAAAGAATAGTGGGCAGGAAATCCGGTTTGAGTGAAGTGAGACCAGCCAACAAGAGACCTTACCTGCTGGCACCTTTATTGACGGAAGAGGATTCATGCAACTGATCGTCAAAGAAGCTTAAATGACAATGACAACGACAACGAATTAACGATGCATTTCTCAAAATATCTCTAAAAATTGTCGTTTCCTTCTTTTTTTTCCATCAATTACTTTAAAGACTCATCTCCTTTTTTGCAATTAAGTGTTCATAAGAGCATTTTAACAGCAAGGATATAAGTCCTTAAAATAAGGAATACCAAATGCAGCCTAAACCTTGTCCTCTCCCATGATTTGGATTGCTCGTGCTGTATATCGTTCACCGCACAACTGCTTTAGTGTTGCAAAACAGACTCCGGATCTCCTACCACGAGAACTCTGCCCACCTCTACCCACAACACACTACCCCCTGAATTGGGAACATCTCCCCCTGCACAATAATATGCAGAGAATGAGATGTTCTCCATGTGTGACTACGATAAACGTGAGCGAAGTACTCTGCAAAACAATACATTTCTTGTAACAAGCATGTAATTTCTGTCTAAAGGGAGTTGTTCTGGCTCAAGGTTTCCAGTGCGGGGGACGGCCGGTATGACAAAATAGTGGCAACGATACACAGATAAAGCTCGTCAAGTGATGGTGACTTGGAGCTGTCAAGGGACTACCTATCTGAACCATCCTTTAAATTTTGAAAGCATTGTTTAGTTCGAATATTAGAGAAACTACATGGGTTGTTCTTCGTAGGGTGAAGACAACACATTAATCAGTCGTATATGCCAGATTACATAGAAAATGACATTCACGCCCACCTCCCTCGAGGAGAAGAATGACCTGCACCCGCCAGCCAGCCTGTAACATCTTCTATGCTTCGTCTAATTGTTCCTGTAGATACAAATATTATGGCAATTTGGTCATATTCAGATGAATATACACAAAAATGAGTTGAGAAAATGCTGCAGATGCATGATTGTATCAAAATAAATACACCTGCTACTTAATTGTTCAAGGCACATTATTTACCTGCGCGTCTGAAGTCCAAAGGGTGAGATTGTCCCTTAGGAGCTGCATGATGAGAGTGCTGTCCTTGTACGACTCCTCGCCTAACGTGTCTAGCTCAGCGATAGCTTCCTCGAAAGCCTGCATATAAAAAATAAAAGAAATAATCAAAATGAAAGGAACACAAATGAAACTATACTTGAAAAACTAGAACAACCATGGTTAACAGGATGGTGATTTTAGCATTAAACTTTTAAGATTGTAATCAGTTAATAGAGTTGTGATTTTCCCCACAAGTAATTATCTTTCAATTCCTGATGATAGATATTATGTCGCATCCTTCGTTTCCTAAATTTATTCTCCCAGTCATGACATGTTCACAAAGAAATATCTTTGCTCCTTTTAACTCTCTTTCACAACTGGCTACAACCGCTGTTGCATGCACTATCTTGTAATTAAGCAAACATTCAATCCCAACGCGCCATGGATTTTCGAGGGCCACATTTGCATATCCTTGTAATTTTTCTCCTTGATTCTTTGACATAAATACACGCATCATATACATTATAATTTTTCTCCTCCAGTTTGCCAAACCATCCAATGTGCATAGCCTTCCTACTCCTATATCCCAATTGATGGAAAAGTTGACTAACACTAAAAGTGCATCAGCTGCAGCTTGCCGGTTGGATAGAATACTTGGCTCCCATATTCTTTAACCTAATAATGTTAAAGCCACTTGTCTTCCAACTTTTTTATCTTGGCTCTTCAAGGCATGCACAATCCAACATTGGTTCTTTGCAAATCCAATCTAATGCCTATTTATCTTTTCTCTCCAACCTCACCAATCTAGTTCATCAGATATAATTATCTAAGTCATGCATATGGTTTGTTGATTGTAAGATGGTCCTGACCACAAAAAAGGACAGACATCACATGAATATTTTATGCAACTAAGACATTTCTCTGTAATCTAGGTAAGCAACATATGGTCCATGCACAACCATTAGACATGGATTCAGAGCCTCTATAACCTCAACCAACTGATAAGACCAAAAAATAAATAGAGCATTCTTCCAAGAATAGTTTAGTTCATAAAAAATACAAAATAAATAGTCGAAATAGCTACATGCATGAAATGCAGTAACATGATATATAATAATATCTAAAACATGAAACAGACTAGAGTAATCTGGGTGAATGACAATGGCTACAGCATCTGATTTATGTTCAAGTTTTCCTAAGACGTGATTACCAACTTACCATCCTCAGCCAACCTGACATACTGTCTTCATTTATATTATATAAGCATTTCATGGAGGCCACCAACTATGATATCTCATTCAGTACAGTGCCAATGATGAATTTTGGGTTTAACGAAGACTATATAGTGTCAACAAATAAGATACCATTATGTACTTTTTAATGCCATATCCAATGTTAAATTATCAACACTTAAATCATTTCTTACTACTTTGGTTCATATCCTTTTTGGTCTGCCCCTAGCCCTTCTATCCCCTTTAACTTGTAAAAGACCACTTCTTCTTACAGGTTCTGTAGGTGGTCTTCTGTGCACATAATCTAGTCTTTATTGAAAAGGAAAGTAATATGTTGTATTAATCCAAATCAGCAAAAATATACAATCAGCTCATGTACATTGACAGACTGTACAGTAGGCATATACAAAAAAAAAAAAAAAAGCAAAAAGGTATGAGACAAACAACAAAAAAGGAACTAGGCTGGACTCCTAAAAAGTTATTTGTTTATTTATCCATGAACATAATAGCCCTTTTAAATTGCTTATTATTACATACATATCTGTGTGTTTGTTCTCAAAAATGTGCATAGTCCTTTTCCTCCACTGTCAATACAATAGAAGGTAAAATACCCCATAAAACCTTCCCTCTTCTGCTTAACCCCTGTAATCTCCATCCTTTAAGTAATTGCAGAACTGTTTCTGGCAAAATGGTACCCCAAAACATTGTAAGGCTAGGTCCCATAAGTGATGAGTTAAACTAAAATACATAAAGAAGCAACTTGACAATTCTAAGCATTCATTGAATAAGGAACAGATATCATTATCCAGTAGCATCCCTCTTCTGATCAAATGATCCTTTGTCAAACATCTACCAAGTGAGGCTGTCCACACTAAGAAAGCCACCTTAGATGGGATGTGGATATTCCACATTTTATCCCTAGGAAATTGATTTGGCTGCAGTGAATCCAGCCTATCATAAGAGATTGAACAATGAATTCACCTGCTTTCTCCCACTGTCGTACACTGCCATCAGCTTCCATAAGGTTTGATTTGATGTTTTGCAAGAGGCCTAATAGTTTGGCAACCTATTAGAGTACTCCTAGGTTCCTTTAAATGACTTCACTTCTGGCCCTATCCTTTCTAGTTTTTCCACTCATCCATCTAAGCACAAACATTTTTTTTGGACATATTATTTCTGGACTGCCCAACACTCTGCTCCATGCAGCATAGCTGGCCTTAAAACCATTTCACAGAACTTTCCTTTTAAATCTAAGTGGTAACCATCTATCACATAAGACTCTGGAAGTCCGGATGCACCCTCTCCATTTTGCGCATCATGCTCCAATTCTATGGATGACATCCTCCTAAATAAATCCCTCCATTGCTATGAGTTATCAAACAATATCAGAAAGGTCACATTGAGTTTATCTCTTGGTCTCAAAACCCTAAGTGTACCCTAGTGCACTCCTATTATTATTATATTTGCATAGCATATATTCTGTTTCAACCTATTTATATTATATTTGCATAGCATATATTCTGGAGATTCCCTCATTTTAGTGATAGCCTAGTCATTTATCAGCAGAACAAGGAATTGCATGTTTCTAAATCATTTGAGGAGGATAACTTCTTTTTTTTATCAATAACAGTGAAATTTTATTAATAATAAAAATCAGGTTTACAAAGGGATGGAGCTAAAAAGTCTTAACTCCAGTTACCCAAGAAACTTTCTGACCATGCAATGATTACAAAACAGCCCAAAATAATGTATCTCTATTTACCCCTTGCCTAGCTAAACCATCAGCCAATGCATTTGCACTTCTCTTTATCCATGTACATTGAATTTCCATGTCCTTGGTTAACCACTTATACTTCCTCTTTTCATTGCTGTATTTCCACATCATAGCACTGTCCTCTTTTAGCCATTTCACCACCGTTTCAGAATCGCCTTCTATAACCACCTTTTTTATGTTCATTTCCTTGACCTTTTGTATCCCTTCAATAGCTCCTAAAATCTCAGCCCTCAAAGAGTCACCCACCCCAATCGGCCCAGAGTACAAGGCTAACAAGTTCCCTGTTTCATCCCTTATCACACCCCCAATTCCGGAAGGCCCTGGGTTGCCTATGCTGCTGCCATCAAAGTTCAGTTTAGTGAACCCAAGGGGTGGAGGAGTCCAGCACACTTTTAATATCTTTCTACATAAACCTGAATCTGCAATATCCTTCCAATTCCTTAACAGCTCATCAGCTGAGAACACTTTGAACAGCTCCAATGTTCTCAACCATTGTACCATCCTAATGTGGATGATCTCCATTATTTCTTCCGCACTTCTCTCTTTATTTGAGAAGATCCTTGAGTTCCTCTCTTTATTTAAGGAGGATAACTTCTAGAGATGCTTCTCTGATGCTTAAAAATATGATGGATTCATATATATCAAAAAAAAAAAAAAGAAAATATGATGGATTCAAGCATCACTAGACATAAAGAATTGGTTCCTGTCCACAACCACAATACAGATTTGGTTTTGCATGACATTAATATATTATGCTGTCAAAGAAGACAAATTTATGGAAGGAAACAGTGGTAATGGTTCACCATGTATCTTGGGGAAACAGCTCAAATTTCTTATGGCATCCATTAGTTACAGATGCCCCATGCTAGAGGGCTGTGTTTTGCCGGGGGTAAATGTGTCAGTTGTGTCATGCATGTTCCTCTCTTCTTGTATGGGTCAGTAACTCAGTATTCCAGACAACCTATGTGGTTTTTGACAGATGTCATTGCCAAAGTCCTGTCCAACACAGACCTCTTAACTTGCAAAAGGACAAGACATGACACCCATTAACCCCCTCTATTTTGCCAAAAAAAAAGGAAAATTACAGTGAACTACCTTGTTCTTTGGGGGTAGTGACTCTTAAGGGCCCAAACTTTCACTTTGCGATAGAGAGCTACCCTACACTTTAGGATTCAAACGTTACAGTGAGGGTAAATTTACCAAAATGCCCATCCATGGTTATGAGACTGAAACCCCATCGTGTCTAAAACCTCTGGTCCACCAATGAAATGATGAATGCTGGAACTGAAAATGAAGAAATCCCGGTCAAGAAGGATGGAAGGAGGGATACTGGGATACAAAAGGATGAAGTCCCTATTCACAAGAATTGCTTGAAGGATTTAAAGACTCAACGAAGAAGGGCAAAACAATCTCAAAAATTATACAAAGGGCTGGGATGCTAATGGCTGGACTTGCGTGTTGGAATTTTAAAGTACATGTATCTCTCTGTCACAAGTGAAAGTTTGGACCCTAAGTGTCACAACCCCCAAAGTACAGGATAGTTCCCTGTAATTTTCCTAAAAAAAACTCTATTTATGTTTTCCCCTCTTGTTGTTTGACATTTCCATAAAAAATAAGGCATGCACTAATGCTAGCAGTGCTCTCGGTTCTTTATGGCAACATGACGATGATTGAGCATGCTAAGCAATTTTGGCAACATTTCTAAAAGATAAATGCTACTAGACAGCATAACTGCATGTGCAATAGAAGGCCATTTTTTAAAAGCTTACTGTTACATCTTTCTAGGAAGCATTTGGATTAAGGTGATAAAACATAATACACAGTAGCTGGACCTTTAAAACAGGATTCATTACAATTTTGAACCAACTCACAACTTCATGTCAATATGAGCACCCTGCATTTTTTATCATCATTTGATTATCACTACATTTATTTTCATCATCTTCAGTTGATTAATGCATTCTTTATGCATATGATGATTTCTAATTCTTGAAAATAGCATATGGACACTAATATGAATGATATTGTATCAAATAGACAAATATGCTGCAAAGTATTTTTGCTCCATAAATAAATTGCACTTTTTACACAGATAGGTTTAATTACCAACATTTACCCTACACTTGCCATTTTTGCAAATCATGTGGCAAGAAAAAGAAACTTTAATTGCCAGATGTAGAAAATTCTAGTTCAGTACCATCAGCCATGTGGTTGCACCACATGTGGCTTTTTGGAAGTAGGGGCACAACTTGGGTACCTGAGTTGAAGATTTTACACTGCATCAGACATGTACCCTCGTACCAGGTCCATTCAAAATTTAATAAAACACAACCTGAGCCCACCCAAGTTGTACCTCTATATGGAAGCTTTGACAAAATGAAACACACAGACTCACTCGCTCACTCACACACACAGAAAAACTATGTTTTTCCTATCATTTTCCTCATATTTTTAGTTCTTTACTCTAAGATCATGGGTCCAACTGCTGAAACATGAAAACCTTGTCCGAGTGGGTTGTCATCTTTCTCAATTTTCATAACATTGCTCATAACCGGTATATCTACTTCAGCAATGTTAAGGAAATGGTTTGAGTATAGGTTTCCTAAATCTCATACTGTGAAGCAATAGCCTCCAAGCTAGTTATAGTTTCTCTAGAAGAAAGCAAAGCAATACAAAGTTGCTTTATAAGTATAACAATCATGAAATCCTCGTCTGAGAGCTCCAGGCTTATCACAACTTTGACTCTGTCTTAAATCAATTCTTTTTTACGCTATTTCTTGAGCTTACTAAAATCAAAATGTCAGTACATTCGCATGCACACACACACACACAAAGTCACAAACACATGCACACGTGTGCATGTCAGCATGTGCGCGCACATACATACGCACACAAGGTCAGTCTTTTTATACAAAGATCTAATAGGATTAAATCAGGAACATCTATATTCCTTCTAAATTATAAAATAAGCAATAATCGTATACTGCGGTGGAAATTTATGCCGTTGCTCAAACAAGAAACCAGAACAACCAAGAATAAATGGAATGAGGAAGTAGAAGATGCGAGTTCTATGAGTTTATAAACAAATAAGGGGTTGGATACTTGGATCAAACCTGTTTTGCCATGCTGCAAGCTTTCTCAGACGAATTGAGTATTTCATAGTAAAACACAGAGAAGTTGAGCGCCAGCCCCAATCTTATAGGATGCGTGGGGGCAAGATCAGCAAGCGCAATATCCTTTAGCCAAAATGACAAAAAGAGCAATCAGAGAATAAAAAAATTAATGGCCTTATTGATGTACCAAGAAAAAAAAAACAATAATAGTATATATCACTCCAAATTTTCGACTTTGGTAATAGTTACGCATCCAAACCCTAAAAGATCAGGCAATATACCCGAAAAATAAAATCCTTGTAAGTACCTGAGCAGCCTTGTAAGCAAGCATGGTATCTTCTGCCGCTTCCTTACGCTCGGCTCCGACCTTGAATTCAGCGAGGTACCGGTGATAATCCCCCTTCATCTTGAGATAGAACACCCTGGACTCGCTGGCGGAGGCCGATGGAATAAGGTGTGCATCCATGAGTTTCAGTATACCAGCGCAGACAGCAGACAGCTCCGATTCCACCTTCGATCTGTAATCTTTGACAAGCGCCACATGTTCTTCGTTCTTGCGCCCTTCTTCCTTCTGCTCGATGGAAGAGACGATCCGCCAGGCGGCACGCAAAGATCCTATCACGTTCTTGTAAGCGACAGAGAGGAGATTTCGCTCCTCGACCGTAAGCTCACCAACCGAAGAGGATCCAACTACGAGTTTCTCCATGTAGCTCACCATCTCTTCGTATCGCTCGGCCTGCTCGGCGAGCTTGGCCAGGTAAACATATTGCTCTCTGCTTAGATTATCGCACGCCATTGGGGACGAAACTAAGAGAAGAATTTCAAAGAAATCAACAGAAACAGAGAAAATTTCCACTGGTTATGTGCTTTGATTTGAGCTTTGAAGAGCTTATATTACCAATTACTGGAGTGATTGACTGCCTTTTATGTTCTTGTCACAACTCTGAACCCGTTGAATCCGTTTGGTACTTTTCTAGTCTATTAGTAGAATTTTTAATAAGACTGAAGGAGCGAACCAGCCAGCGAAACCGGGTCTAATTATATTCATGAAGAAATATGTTAAAAAGACCTGGTTACCTCATGAAATTTCGTGGAAACTGGAAAGAGACAAATCAAATCACGAGTCCTTGGTTCAAGAAACCCGGTCCAACAAACCAAGTGCGGTTCTCAATAGTCAATTCTCATTATCCAAATCTGATTCTTTGGGTTTTGATTGGTTGAACCAGGTATTACATTAGAAAGTTGAGTTGAGAGTCGTCAAATTGTTAATCTTATACTCCCCAAGTTGACGCATTGCGGGCCGCCACGACTAACCACCGTCCACATTGATCCGACGATGCGATGACGGGGCCGGGATGAAGACAGGCCACTCTTATCTTTTTATGCTTTGCTTTCATCATTCCTCCTCATTCATCATTCATAGACCACAGTCTTCTACTTTCGACTTTCTAACTAGTAAGGCTAAATATTATTTTCACTCTACAGCTTCCTCGTCACATGATCCTCTGCTCAAAATTCAATTAACCGTCCACTTCTTTTTGACATCTATTGAAAACTTGATCACAGGATCATCGGCATTCAGCATAAACATCGAAAATTAACGCTGCGTTTGTTTTCGGCAATGTTTTTAAAACCGATCTGGAGAATGAACCGGTCAGGGGTCCGGTTTTTGGGTTGAACAGTCCACCGCTTGAATCGAACAGTCAGTCTGTTTTAATAAAAAAAAATTAAATTAAATTAAAAACGATCAAAATTATTCGAATGGTTTATTGCCCGGGTCAGTGGTTTCCTGACCAAAATCAATGATTTTTGGCAAAAAATCCGGTTTTGGGGAAAAATGGAACCAGTCACCTGACTGGTTCCCGGTTTTTCCGGTTCAACCATCCGGTCAGGTCCGGTTTTGAAAACCATGATTTTCAGTATAAAACCTCATCCACGGTCACATCAAACTGTTTCAAAGTTTTGAACTGTTGAGCATTGAAAAATGTGAAACTCACTATATGATGTAAAACTCCACTCCATCCAATCACCAACAATTCTGAACCAGTGGTGACATTTTACATCGATCTTGATTTACATTGCAAACAAACACCGATAAAACTGAATCAGTGATAAGGTTTTACATCGCAAATAAACAGAACACAGCCTAATAGGTAAATTACGAGACTTCCCTATTCTAGGGTTAGTGACAAAGACCCCCTATAAGGCTATACTTTAATTTGCAACAAAGACCTATACTTTAGTTGTGAGACAAAGACTCTCCTTAACTGTTAAGTGAGATGATGGAATGTGTTAAATTATCAAAATATCCACGTGAACTTGCTTTATATTCTTTTTATTGCCCTTTTCTCTTAAACTCTAATCTAGCCCACCTTCATGCATTAAATTACCAGAATTGGCTGCAACAATGATTGATTTCCACCAAAGGAACTAAACCTACATTTTAGTCTTTTTTTTTTTCTTTCTTTTCTTTTTCTCCCCATAGTCTCACGTTTCTCATGCCAGGAAATGTTAATTTTTCTTAGCCGAAAAACCAACAACTTTATCATTTCTTGGACAAGAATTCCTCTCAGTTTGGAATGAGTATAAATACAAATATATACACTATAAATACAAACAAAATACAAGGTTTTGCACTTAATATATTTGCATTTATAACCCTTTGAAATAGAGCCTCAAGATACAATCTTCTTTTTTGTTATTTCTTTTTTCTCAGGCAATCAATCGTCGTTGTGGTTATCGGAATCCATGGCAATTTGATCAGTGATATCTTTATCACCATTCAAATAAAAATAAAAATAAACAGTTAAATGAGAATCTTTTTTAAAATTAACTGAGAGAAAGTTTTTATCTCACAGCTAAAGTTCAAAGAGATCAATGTCCCAAATTAAAGTATAGGGTCTTTTGTCATTCACCCCATAATACTGGGGTCTTTATAATTTACCCAAAATTAATAATTATTTTTTTACCTTTCTCATCATTTAGCATGTAATCTTCGCATTGGGGAAGGTGTAGCATGTGTAATGAAACCTGTGTCTCTCCCTAGATAGGACATCAAATTGAAATTGGTAGAGCCGTCAGTGGGTAGACCCGGTGGCGAGTGCGATGAGAAAGTCCAAAACCCATGTACATCCAGTCCTGAATCAGACCTTACGAGGACTATAATACACGACCCAAAACCTAACCAATTGTTAACCGAGCTATTTGGGTTTGACCCAATCAGAACTGATTACACCAAGGCATGATTAAAATTTCGATATTATAATGAGAAGTTATAAGCATAACCACCATTTTGGGAATCTGCTGCTTGCACGACTGTGTATCACTTGCTAGTTGCTAAATCAATCACGAGTGTACATGTCACTGTTTCATAGAAACTCGAGTGAGCAAATTCTCTCTTTTGGAAAGCGCCAATTTCAGGGAGGAACGTGGATGGGAGTTTTGTGTGTCCGGGCAGGTCAGGTTTTGGGGCAGTGCTAAGGAATGAAATTGGCACAGTAATTGCTGTAGTTTTTGGCATCATCTCTTGAAGCAATGGCGGTTCTCAACAGTCTGGATGTTTTGAACATGTATAAGAAGGAAAATAATGAAGTGGAATCGTACTGTCCAACTTTTGGTGCAGGCACTTAGAACTAGAAATATGGATTTAATTTTGGATGCAAACTTTCTTCGTTTAGATATAAAGCTTCTGACTGATGATTTAGCTATCTCTTTTGATTATGTAAATAGATCATGTAATACTACAGCCCATGAGCTTGCTAAGAAAGGTCTAATTGAGTCTTGATTATTTGGACAGGATCCACCGGACTGATTCAAGCTCTAGCTAACCAAGACTTGGCTAGACCTTAACTGATTTTGTCCCGTATTTGGTGACTTTGTTTTATTAATGATATCAGCTTGCTTATCTTTATCAAAAAATACATGCTACCTACAGAGCTCTGGCGTGTCCATTTCTGATTGATTATGTAACAAGCGATAACATTGCAAGTAGTATATCTAAGTTCCAAAAGACTTGGCCCATTGAGCTATCTCATGGGCCAAGGTGTTCTTCACTGAGGAATATTTCTAAAAGACATAAGAATATTTTACAGATAAAAAGTGACATGGATTAGGTGCTATAGATTGGGCCTCTCCTGCTTTTACGTTTTCAATTATACCCTTTGAGGGTTTTACATAATTGATCCGAACTCATTTGATAGGGAAACACTTGCTGGTTTCATCTCTATTAAAGGCATTTAGTGGCGTTACTTAAATTTGCATCTGTTACAAATTTTGCATTTTGTATTTACATTTTTCACAAACGGAACCTTATGTATTTACGTCAAAGTAACCATCCTCGATCTAAAACAATTTAGTATTGCTTTGGATCATAATTCAAATTATGAATCGAAACATTAGAAGACATGGAATCATCTTGTCATCTTTTTTTTGTCAAAATGATATGATCGGACTATACTTGATATTTATATCAATTAACGAAAGACCAAAATGCAAATACACAAAAAAAAAGCACGTTGAGTTTTTTAAACAATTCGAATGATCGCAAGGTTTGTCTTTTTGGTTAAACAGAAAAAAGAATATTGAGAGCATGGTAACCGGTTGTACATCAAAACATATCTTGCATGTTTATTTATTAAATTCACGGAGAGATGTTCCTCACGTGCAACAATGTTAAAATGGTTTTTGCTTTTAAACTCCTCATGTTGCAGAGCACTCTCTGAATAGCAAATCATGTTCCAGACACACCTCTAACATGATTAAGCATTAATATTTCATACATCGTAGGTCTGTCATCTGATGTCAAATCATGTTGGAATTAGGGCTTCAAATTGAATCAAATCCTATTTGAATTTGATTTTGATCAAATAAGAGTTGGATTCGGATACATCCATTGATCTTAATAAATCGGATCGAATTGGAAAAATCGTTCCATTTAATTAATGAATCAAATTCCAATATACCCCGATCCGATCTGATCTGCCATGGCCCAATCCAATCGGTTAACTATGAATTGTTATTATTATTATTATTATTATTATTATTATTATTATTATTATTATTATTATTATTATTATTATTATTATTATTATTATTATTANTTATTATTATTATTATTATTATTATTATTATTATTATTATTATTATTATTATTATTATTATTATTATTATTATTATTATTGTTGTTGTTGTTATTGACGGAGCATGATTTGGATGCTTCTAGTTGGATGATGATTTGGAACTTGGCTGCGTGGCGAGCTAGTTTGGTTTGCAAAACAGTGAAGCTCAAAGAACCCGGGGTGGCTAACCCGGCAAGGTTGCTTCGATGCTTAAGTTAGTATTGTGAGCTGAAAAGTTGAATGATAAGTGTACTAGTGAGCAAGTAATCGCGCGTACTTGGGCCCTGGAGGGGTTGTTGCCCTTATACAGCTGAGTTGCCGTGTGTCTCACGAAACGGTTCCACGATCTTCGGCCTGAGTGGATGAGATCTGTTTCCGCTTTAGTTGGGGGAGTAACATATTAGTTAACGGAGTCTATCATCTCTACCCGATCCAGGCGGGGAGAGGATAAGGCCTGCCATCACGCAGCATGATCCCGTGAAGTTCGAAGTCCGCTGGGAAGTTTCTGGAGTTGATTACGTGTCACTTCGATTTCTGGGCCCCGAACTGTATTAAGTGTTGAGGTGTCTTTACGCCAAGGTGGCTTTGTGCCGAGGTGACCGAACACCCGAGCTCTAAAAACTGCTAACTAGGCTCCTTTTGTTGAGATGTCATCCTTCGGGCAGATTGCATCCATGTGACATTTACTTACTAGGTCGTGCCAAATCACTCCTCATCAATTATTATTATTATTGTTGTTGTTGTTGTTGTTGTTGACTTGTTTTTCCTAGTAGAGGGAACTTCCCTTTGATTTTGTTAATGTCCACTAACAATCTACTAGGGGTGGCCATGAGTCGAGCTTCTCACAAGCTATTCG